TAACTGGGCAGAGATGACCGCCCAGCTCCTCCCAGCAGCTCTTCCCCAGGGAAGTTTGAGCCCATCTCAGGGTCATTTCTGGGAGGGGGAGGTGCAGTTCAACCCAAATTAAGGCAATGCTGGGAGTGACAAGTAAATGAACGCAGGGCTACTCCGGCTCTGTTCCCCTTTCAGAAAGTAATCAAGTCAAATTATCTATGAGAAGAAGCTAGGCTCATGGTTGAGGGGGTGTGCAAATGAAAACCAGATTCAGACGGAGGCTGACTTGAGAAAGCCCAGGAGCTTTATTTAAGAGAGAGAGAGGGAAAAGAGAGAGAGAGAAAGGAATACGTGTTTTCTCCCATCCCCAGACTCTACTTACTTTTAAATACTTTGCTTCCTCTCTTGTTCCTTTCTCCCCATCTCTGTTTGTTTCATTCTCCAAAGGGAGAGCAGAGTGAGCGCTCTGGCATGAATGTGCCTGGGCTCTGGGTGACCTTCCAGCATGATGGGAATGATAGGAAGGGGTCGGAACTGGTTTTGGTCTGAAGGTGCAGACTGCAGCTTTTGGTCTAGACTGCAGGTCATTGGTGGACCCTATAAAATACACATGAACTCTTCAGGCCAGACAATGTTACTCCCCAGGGTACATTTGGCAATATCCGGAGACATTTTTGATTGTCATAGAGTTGAGGGGTTTTGCTACTGGCATCTATTGGATAGAGGCCAGGGAAGCTCCTAAACACACCACAATGAACAGTGCAGTCCCCCAGACATAGAATTATTTGGCCCAAAGTGTTAATAGTGTCCAGAGTGAGAAAACTGCTTGACTAGGGACCAAATAGTAGTCTAGAAGTAAAAAAATGGGAGACAGAGGACCCTTCCCAGCTGCCCCTGTGGAACCGTGGAGCCCTCTTCTTTACTGTGTGCTTGGCATCTCCTGTGCCCTCATTCGAAACTGGAGGTTAGACCCGCCTTAGAGCTGACCTCTCCGCTGATGATCTCATCCCCGTGGAGATAAAGCTGTAGTGAGGTAACCCCTCACGTGTGGGCTCTCCCACTGAGCTAGTCTTTATTCTTCCATTTACACCTGAGAACCATAGTTCCCTTTCTGAACAGAACCACCTCCAAGAAGCACCACTCTAGCAGATGTTGGGCACCCATCACATCACCTTCTTCTCCCCTCCCCTCCCCACATTTAGATGTGTGTCCAGGTGAAATCAGGAGGACTTTAAAGAGGAAAAGAGGCCCAGATATGGTCGTGTCTATGAAGTGTGTGGATGATATGGAAAAATCCAATCACTTTTTCTTAAGGCCACATACTACTTGGAAGTGGGTCTCTCAACCCCAGGCATTGATAGATAGCTTGGTGATAATGAACAAATGTTCACACCAGGCAATACGGGATTAGGGAGTTCAGCAGCGGGAAGGACAGCATGGTGTTGATGTCACTGTAATGTCCCTTGGTGCCTGATTCACTTTATCTCCTCACACAAGTCCCTTCATATGCCCATCTTTCCTGGTGATCAGCCCCTCTAAATTGTTTTTACTGTACCTAATAAAATTCACAGAGTCAATCTCTGCTTCAGACTCTGTGTATTCTGTGAGGGGCTGACCACCATTTCTATTTATAATAGAACAAACACAGTTCAGCTGGGCTGATGGTTTCTAAGTTCCAGAAGGACAGATAGAGGAAACTGCTTATCTCTGGAGCCTACACAGGGTTTGTGACAATGGAGAAGTGAACTCAGAGGGAAGAAGTGATGGTGTGAGCCCAGGTTCTAAGGGAGAGGATTCCACAGAGGGCTGTGGCAACATCAACATATTCCAGTAATCAAATGGTCACTTATTTGTACCTGATCAGGTGTATCTGGGAATGGACATTCCAACTCTTAGGGATCTCCTTTCCTCACATTGAGTTGGGAGGCACAGCAGCTCATGCCAGACTTTATTAGCGGTCAATGGGGGCAAGAAAACATAGCTTAACCTTAGAAAAATATAATATTTAGGTGCTAATTCTTATTTTCTCCCTTCTGTTCTTTTTTTCCTTGGCTAGTACTCTCCCCCCTCTCTTTTTTTTTTTCTCTCTCTCACACAGATATTACTAAAGCCCTAGTTCAAAGTGATTTTACTTTGCCATGGCAAAAATACCATTTCACACTTCCAAGAGTCTGAAATGCCTGCAAAGAAGCTCAGAGGGTGGCTTGAGTCCTGACAGGCTCAAACAAATTGATTTTTGGATGCAGTGAATGTAACTCAATCAGAAGCATGCGGATTATATTTCTCTTAAAATCTACACCATTTTTAAATGAAAGGAAGAAGCATTAGATCAAAGAGATACTAAATTTTGTTCAGCCTCAAAAGACTGTGGGCAAGTTCTTCATATCACTTGTTTTCAATGTTTACTCTGTAGGGAAAAGAGGGTCGACTAGATAATCTTGTGGATTGTCTCTAACTCTGAAAGTCTGTGGCTTTCTGAGCCAGAATTCATCCTTTCAGACATTCTTTCAGCTTTCTTTTATGGTGAGAATGGGGCTCATGATAGGTCCATGATGTCGAGACCTGAGACTAGGTGTGTCCTATTGGACAACTCCCACTGGCCTTTGCGTGCCATAAAAACAAACAAACAAAAAATAAAAACAAATGAAATTCTCCAACACGCAAGCCATTTGGAACTAAACACTTGTTTCGTTTTGTTTTCAAGGGGGTGGGGGAGGGCAGCAAGGCTGTTCAAAACAGCCTCTACGAATTCTGATGGAGCATCAGGAAATTGCATTGTTTTAAATGGCTGAGTTATGCTTCATTGAATGAAAAGCACAAGGAGTTGAGGAATTTACACCACATACCACCGTGCAGCCTTTTGTTCAGTTAGCCTCTGCTGGCTTGCAAGGAATAGTGGCCTGAATGATTGCAAACAGATGCGGGAAAAATAACAGTGTGGTCTGAACAGGGGGGCAGCTAATATATGAAACTACACTTTTATGGGGCCACTCACATGGCCTTAGGAGATGAGAAGATGGCATCCCACTTTGCTACAACCATTTTAAACTGGTGGAGAAGATGCTGCTCTGTCCATACGGACTCTAGGAACAAATAAAACCGCAAAGAAATAGCTGGGATAAGGGAAACGTCAGTTGCAACCCTGGTTAATCAGCTACAATATCAACACTTCCTTAATTTATTGAAGAAATAATTATGGAGTGTCTATATATATCAGGCAGTGTGCTAAATGCTGGGGATGCAACAGGAAATAAAGCAGAAGTGGTCCATGCCCTCAAGGAACTTATAAAGAAGGAATTACAAAACAAACCCTTAAGGGTTTAATGTGACAGCTTTTTGCTAGGTGCTTGGTAGATCTGTCTTATTAACCTCCCACCAAGCTGCTGTTTTTTATAGTTGAATAAATAGATACTCAAAGAGGTGAAAGAGTGGTCAGCTTGTCAGTAGATTCCAAAATCTTTCAGATTCTTTCAGCCTGCCATGCTTTCACCCACAACATGAACTTAACTCCTCTGGGACCTAAGTTTCCTCATCTCAGTAGTGAAGAGATGGAAGATAATCACTTAGAAAGTATCTTCCAAATATAATATTCTATTTGGCCGCTAGCAAATTCCAAGGGCTCTTCTTCCATATTTGAACTTCTTTAAATGTTTGTCCTTTTTTGGATTCTTTGATTTTTTTCTTTCCTAGATCTATTTCTTATTTCTTGGAGTGTTCTTCAATCTTCTTTGCTGGATCATTTTCTCTGGCTCCTTTGAAATGCTGGCATTGCCCAAGATCTCATTTTCGGGTTATTTTTTCCCCTACTGTCTACTTTTCTTTGGTGAGATAATCAGTTCCAATATTCCTAGCCCTCTCCCAGGTGCTGATGGCCCCAAGGGTTTAAGTCCAGACACCGCTTCTATTCTAAACTCAAGACTGATGTTTTTAACTTCCCCCAGAACATGTCCATGTGTTGGAGCACAAGCACCTCACTCTTTGTGATGGCATGATGGACTGGCACTCAGCATCCATTCTAATCCTCTTCTGGTTTGCTTGTCAGTACTTCAGAGGCTGGGACCCATATGCAGTATTTTCCCGGGTATGAGTCATGTCCTGTCCCACTCATTAGAAGAACTTGCACAATATTTGGAAGGTGGGAGATAGGTGGGGATAGCTTGCTGTTGTTTCTGATGTTACTGCTGATACATAGGCGATGCTGTGACATTTTGGTTTCGTTCTGTTTTGTTTTTTCCTGCAGTAGCATTGCAGTTAGTAACTTCATGGATGTTGAAAGGCATTTTGAGAGTGGTGGCATCCTGAAATTTGTATCACAGATCCATTTGATACAAGCTGATACAAGTGATGTTTTAAAATATTTTATTGAAGTAGAGTATACTTACACAAAAGTACACCACCATGTACTTACGACTTGATACATTTCACAGCCTGAGCATATGAACACACATGTAATGGCATCCCTATCCAAAAACAGCATGAAGAAATCATCCCAGAGCCCCTTCCCCAGTCACCACATCTCTCTCGAAGGGATAGCCACTGTCCTGACTTCTGGTTTTGGACGTTATATAGATGGAATCATATAGTATATATTCTTTTGTGTCTGACTTCACTCAACGTTATATTGGTGATATTCAATTACATAGCTGTGTGTAGTTGAAGATCATTTATTCTAATTGCTGTTCACTTCCCATTGTATGAATATACCATAATTTATAGCTAAATTCTACTGTTGATGAGCAACTGGTGGTTTCCTTTTTGAAACCAGTATAAATGGTGTTGTCATGAACATGCTAGTACATACCTTTGGTAAACAACTACATGCATTTGTTTTGGGTGTATACAAAGGAGTGGAATTTCTAAAATGCATGTTTAGCTTAAGTATACAGATACTGTCACACCAGTTTCCAAAATGTAATTGGCTCTACCAATTCACATTCCACTGGGTGAATTCCATGTATATGGATGCAGGTTGTTCCCTATCCTTGTCAACACTTATTATTTTCCATCTTTTTCTATTTCAGCTATTCTGGTGGGTACTAGTGAAATCTCACTGTGATTTTAATTTCTGTCTTCTTGGTGACTAAGGTGAGCATCTTTTCATATATTTATTATACATTTGGATATTCTCACTACATAAATGCCTATTCAAATCTGCCTTTTTTTCCCTCAGACTTGTAAGAATTCTTTATATATTCTTGAGATTTGTGCTTTATTGAGTAGATGAATACTACTGTGCTTTGACTTTTTCATCTTGCAGTAGTGGTTTTCGAGAAACAGAAGTTAATTTAATTATAGCAAAATTTATTAGTTTCTTTCAATTTATGGTTAATATTTTTGTGACCTATTTAAGAAATCTTTACCCAATTCATGATATGATATTCTCCTGTGCTTATTTCTAAAACTTTATTGTTATATCTCTTATATTTAGATTTGCTACCTAACTGGATTGGTATTTGTATATATTGATAAGTAGAGATAAAGTTACATGTTTCTTCATTTAGCTGTCTGATTGACCCATCACCATTTATTGGAAAAATCATCCTTTCCTCCTTACTGGTGGCATATTTGTGATACATCAGGAGCTAAGTATGTGCAAGTCTATTTCTACACTTTCTATTCTGTTCTATTAGTCTGTCTGTGCACTAATACTACACTGTCTTAGTTGTGAGAGCTTCATAATAACCTTAATATCTTACAGTAATTCTCCTAGCTTTATTTTTATGATTCCTGGCCCTTTGCCTTTCCGAATTTTTGCAGATATCAGCTTATCAATTTGCATACACACATACACATATACCTGCTTGGATTTTAATTGGGATGGCATTGAATCTAGAGATAGTTTGTGAAGAACTGGCATTTTTCCTTGTATTGAGTCTTCTGACCCATGAGCATCATACATACTCCATTTATTCCGGTCTCATTTAAGTTGTCTCAATAGTGTGTCATTGTTTCCAGTGTAGACACATTGCACATATTTCTTCAAATTTGTTCCTGAGTATTTGATGCTTTTTAGTGCTGATATAAATGGCATCATTTAAAATTTTGTTTCTTATTTGTTTGTTGCTAGTTTATAGAATTGCAATTGGTACTGCACATTGACTTTGTATACAATATTCTTGTTAAATTAATTTATTAATTCTAATAGTTTTGTATTCATTTCATTTTTTACATATACAATCACATTATCTATAAATAATACCCTACTTCCTTTCCCATAATTATGACTTATTTTTCCTCCATTGCATTGGCTAGAACCTCTGATACAATTTTTAATAGAAGTGGTGTTAGCGTAAATCTGGTCTCATTACTGATTTCAGAGAGAAAAAGTACAATATTTAACCATGAAATTGAAGGATTTTAAAAATATGGATTCTCAGCTTAAGTAAGCACTATTTCTAGCTTGCAAACAGTTTTTCTCATGGATGGGTGTTACATTTTGTTGAATAATCTTGCTGCATCTAATCTATCAGCATTATAAAATGATTTTTTCCTTTCAATTTAGAGAATTACATCAATTTATTTTCAAATGTTAAACTTCCTGTATTCCTGAAATAAGCCTCAATTTGTTGGGCTGTATTATCTTTTTTCTATATTGTTAAATTTAATTTGCTAATTATTTTTAAGGATTTTTTCATCTATGTTTAAGAAGAAGCTTGATCTATAATTATCAATTATTATTGTCAAGTTTTGGAATCAAGGTCTTATATAAGAAGTTGGAACATGCTCATTCTTTCTATTCTCTAGAATAGAATTCACCAGTTGAAAGCATCCATTTCTATTTCTTCTTTGTCAGCTTTGGTAAGTTAAAATTTTTTAAGGAATTTGTCCATTTCATCCAAATTGTTGAATATACTGGCATACGTGTTGATTATATCCCTTGATTATTTTTAATGCATAAGATCTATACATTTTTCATCCCCAATTTTATAATTCGGGTACCTCCATCTCCCTTTCATAATCGGTGTTGCATGCTATTAGCTTTTAGATCTGAGGTTTTTCTTTCTCTTGCTGTCCTTTTAGGTTTTGTTGTCTCATAAATTGAGTTGGGAAGTAATCATTCTTGATAACTCTGTAAAGTTTGTATACAGTGAAAATTATTTTTTCTTTGACTATTTGGTAAAACTGGTTCACAAAATCAGCTAAGTATGTAGATTTTCTTGTGGGAAGGTATAAAGTTACATATGGATTCATTACTTGAATAGAAAGAAAACAATTCAGATTTTTAATTATTGTGTTGTTAATTTTTATTTTCCTAGGGATATAGTACATCCATATAAATTTCTGAACTTGTTGGCACAAGGCTGTTAATAATATCATCTTGTTATATTGCCGATGTCTACACTGACTCTTTTTCATTTCTAATGGTGATTATTTGTGCCTTTTATTTTTGTCTTGTTCAATCTCACCACATATTTGGTTTAAAATTTGTAATTGTTTCATATATCAAATTTAGGTTTGTTGATCAATTTGTTTTCTTTCATTAATTTATGCTTTTCCTCTTATTTTCCTCCTTGCTTATGAACTGAACTTTTTAATATTTATTAAGTTTGTTTTACCTTAAAGTGTATTTCATCTCATGTTAATATAATTAAACCACCTTTATCTTGGTTGAAATCTGCCTAGAATATTTGGGCTGTATTTTTATTTTTAACCTTTCTGTATCCTTACGTTTTAGATGTATATATTATAAATAAATAGCTAGAGTTTTAAAATTCAAATGTGATAATATTTGTCTTTTCCCTGAAGCACTTTATCATTTATGTTAATTATAGGTTCTTACAGATTAGCATATTTATATACAACCAATTATTATGTGCCTTCTATTCATACCACCTTTCTGTGTTTCTTTCCTTTCATTTTTTTTGTCCTCTTTTTATTAATTCTGTACTTTTTCCTGATTCTATTCTTACCTATACTAGTTCAGAAAATATGAATTTTATTATTTTTGTTTAATGGTCACTCTAGTAATTACAACAAGCACACATAACTAATCCAAGTCAGAATTAATAGCAGCCTCACCCTCCTCCAGAAGGATCTTTGGTTTCCTTTATTTTAAAACAGCTTTACTGAGATACAATTCATGTACCATACGACTAACTATTTAAAGTGAAGAGTTCAATGTTCAGTATTATATTCACAGGGTTGTGCAACCATCACCACAATCTAATTTTTGGGACGTTTTCCTCCCCCTAAAAGAAACCACTTACTCATTAGCAATTATTTCTCACCTCCTAACACCTTTCCTCACCCCAGACAACCATTAATCTACTATCTGTTGGTATAGATTTGCCTATTTTAGATATTAAATGGAATCATACAATATGTGGTCTTTTGTGTCTTGCTTCTTTCATTTAGAATAAAGTTTTCAAGATTCATTGGTATTGTAGAATGTATCAGAACTTCATTCATTTTTATGACTGAATAATATTCTATTAGAGACATGTCACATTTTACTTATCCATCTGTTGGTTGATGGACATTTGTGTTGTTTCTGCTCTTTAAGTATTAAGAATGTTGTTGTAAAACACATGAAAGGATGTTCAATATCACTAATCATTAGAGAAATGCTAATCAAAACTACAATGAGGTATCACCTCACACCAGTCAGAATGACCATCATCAAAAAATCTATGAACAATAAATGCTGGAGAGGGTGTGGAGAAAAGGGAGCCCTCTTGCACTGTTGGTGGGAATGTAAATTGATACAGCCACTATGGAGAACAGTATGGAGGTTCCTTAAAAAACTAAGAATAGAACTATCATATGTCCCAGCAATCCCACTACTAGGCATATACCCTGAGAAAACCATAATTCAGAGAGAGTCATGTACCACAATGTTCATTGCAGCTCTATTTACAATAGCCAGGACATGGAAGCAACCTAAGTGTCCATTGACAAATGAATGGATAAAGAAGATGTGGCACATATATACAATGGAATATTACTCAGCCATAAAATGAAATGAAATTGAGTTATTTGTAGTGAGGTGGGTGGACCTAGAGACTGTCATACAGAGTGAACTAAGTCAGAGAGAGAAAAACAAATACCGTATGCTAACACATATATATGGAATCTAAAAAAAAAAAAGGTTCTGAAGAACCTAGGGGCAGGACAGGAATAAAGACACATACGTAGAGAATGGACTTGAGGACACGGGGAGGAGGAAGGATAAGCTGGGACGAAGTGAGAGTGGCATGGACATATATACACTACCAAATGTAAAATAGATAGCTAGTGGGAAGCAGCCGCATAGCACAGGGAAATCAGCTTGGTGCTTTGCGTCAACCTAGAGGGGTGGAATAGGGAGGGTGGGAGGGAGATCCGAGAGGGAGGGGGTATGGTGTTGTGTGTTTATCTGATTCACTTTGTTATAAAGCAGAAACTAACACACCATTGTAAAGCAATTATATTCCAATAAAGATGTTAAAAAAAGAAAAGAATGTTATAAACATTCATGTATAGGTTTTTGTGTGAACATATGTTTTCATTTCTTTGGGGGATGTGACTAGGAGTGGAATTGCTGTGGCATATGGTAACTCTATGCTAGTATTTTGAGGAAATGCTAAACTGTTTTCCAAAAAGACTGCATTATATTACGTCCTCCCAGCAGTGTATGAGCAGTTAAATTTTTCCAAATCCTCATCAACACATGTTATTATCTGTCTTTTTTTTTGGTGGTGGGGGGTAGGAGTTTATTAATTAATTAATTTATTTTTGCTGTGTTGGGTCTTCGTTTCTGTGTGAGGGCTTTCTCTAGTTGTGGCAAGCAGGGGCCACTCTTCATCGCGGTGCGCGGGCTTCTCATTATCGCGGCCTCTCCTGTTGCAGAGCACAGGATCCAGACGCACAGGCTCAGTAGTTGTGGCTCACAGGCCCAGTTGCTCTGCGGCATGTGGGATCCTCCCAGACCAGGCCTCGAACCTTTGTCCCCTGCATTAGCAGGCAGATTCTCAACCACTGCGCCATCAGGGAAGCCCCCTATCTGTCTTTTTGATGATAGCCATCCAAGTGGGAGTAAAGTGGTATCTCATTAAGGTCTTGTCTTACATTTCCTTAATGGCTAATGATGTTGAACATCTCGTCATGTGTTTATTGCCTATTTGTATATTTACTTTGAAGAAATATCTATTCATATCCTTTATTTATTAATTTTTTATTTGCTGATACCATACTGTCTTGATTACTAGAGCTTTGTATTAAGTTTTGAAATTGGGAAATGTGAATCCTCCAACTGTATTCTTCTTTATCTAACATTATTTAAACTATTCTGAGCCCCTTGCATTTCTTTGTGAGTTTTAGGATCACATTGTTGATTTCTTCAAAAAACCAGCAGGCATTTTAATAAGGATTTTGATAGGAATGGTGACATTAACCTGAGGTGAGGGTGGAGTTTTGGCCCTCTGAGGTCAAAAGGTCATCCATCAGACACTTGTGCAGGACCAGTTGAATGGTCCGTGGCCTTGACCAGTTTTAACTGGTCAGGACTAACTCCGTGTTCCTGAAAAGCAACTTAAGAGATCCTTACTATAGTGACTCATCTGTCAGAAGTGTTATCAACAGGGAGTGCTCAAAGGAGTCTTTTGATATATTGTCTAAGCTACATGAAGCTTGGAGGGTATGTGATTTGTAAGAACAATTAAAGCAAGCTTGGTCATTGAAGACAAGTTACAGGATATTATTTATTAAGCAAGTTATAATTTAAGGGATCTGACTGATGACTGCCCTTGGTTTCACCCTCAGCCATCACTGCCTGGAATAGGGCTTCTGCAACATGGGTCTGGAGGAAATGAGAAATGAAGGCAGCCTGACCTTTCTGGGGTGAATATGTTAGCCCCAGACTGTAATCTGCAGGGAGAGAGACCTCCTGTCTTGTGGGTCTCACCTGCCCAGAGTAGAGGGCTCAGGTAAAGCGTCTATAACACAGACGTTGGGAGGGAGGAATAAGAGAGCAGGACATGGTTCAAATGCAACAGACTGGCATCGTTCTTACTGACACTGAGTAGATTTTCTTGAATGAATTTTTTCATTTATTCTATGTCCTTAAGACAATTTCCAGATATTTAAAATTATTTTTAAAATCAAATTCATCAGTTAAATTGTTTTGCTGTGGAGAGGGTCTATTGAGCTCTTTATTCTATCATTCCCCAAATCCTGACCCCTTCTTTAGTTCATTTTAAGCTTCATTCACCTTCCCTTGCTTTGTATTCTAATGTCTTGAAATTATATTTTTCAAAACCCACTAGAAAATTTTTTTCTAATCCGTTTGTCTTTGTATCATCCATGTATTTATCACCCTTTCTGCTATATATTCATTCTTACATCTCAAACTGTTCCTCTCGGAACACTTCATTCTGCTTAAAGAATATTTTTAGAATTTCCTTTTGTGAAATCTGTTGATGGCAAACTTTCTCAGACTTTATTCACTTGATTTTTCTTGAAAGATATTTCCACTAGGTAGAGATTATAGGACGGTAGTTATTTTCTCTTCTTATATTGAAAATATTACTTCCTTTTCTGGCTTTCATTGCTGTTGATATGGAATCAACTTTCAACTAACTGTCTCTTCTCTCTGTCTACCTATTTCTTGTCTTTGGAGTTCTACAGTTTTACTGTGGAGTACCCAGTTTTGCACTTCTTTTCATTTATCCTGATTTGGATTCATTTGGCTTCTTGAATCTATTGCTTTGTACCCTTCATTGGTTTTAGAAAATTTTTAGCTAATGGATCTTCAAATATTGTCTACAACCTATTTTGGTCTCCCTTCTTATTCTTGGTCTTTGATAAGACCTTCTCATTCA